CAGCATTTCACTTCAAGTCCACGAGCATAGCTCAGCCTAACTACATCTAAGTGTGTGTTCCTAACGACCGTAAGAGATGTGTTTCCTGAAGGGAGGTCGTGGTTTTGAATAAAATCTTCCTCAGTTCAAATGCAATGGCCTCTTGGAGAGTAACCCTCTTTCCCCAGTTCCCCACTTCAGCAGGAATATCTGTTCTTTATGTTCGGAATGCTGCTATGTTAGTTCTGAGTTTGAAGCCTCCAGAGGAGCTGTGAGTTTAGTTTCAAGTCTAGATAATCCTGTCCATTACCAAAATATATGAGAAATTGAAGTCTTAAAATTAAGTATATGTTGGCAGGGTGTGGTGGTGCATGCCTGTAATCCCAGCACTCAGGAGGCTGAGGCAGGAGGATTGTTGCGATTTCGAGACCAGCCTGGACTACAAAGTGAGCTCAAGGCCAGCCTGAACTACACAGCGAAACCCTGTCTCAAAAAAACCAAAAAAAAAAAATAATAATAATAAGTATATGCGAGGCACAGTGTTATCTACCAATAATCTCAGCTACTCGGGAAGCTGAAGCAGGAGGATCACAAACTCAAGGCCAGCCTGGACAGTTTAGTCAGACCCTGTCTCAAAAACTTGAAAGGGCTGAGACATGTCTCAGTGGTCAAGTAAGTGCCTCACAGGTGTGAGGCCCTGAATCCAATCCCCGGTGCCAGCACCAAAAAAGCAGAAGTGTATGTTTTTTTGAGATAGAGTCTCACTGTGTATTTCAAGCTGGTCTTGAACTCACTGTATAGCCCAGGCTGGCCTTGAACTCATGGAGATCTGCTTGCCTCAGCCTCGCAAGTGCTAGGATTACAGGTATGTGCCATGAAGCCTGGCTTCTGTGTGAATTCTTTCATCTTTTGGAGGACTGCATATTTCCATGTAGGTGGTTGATAGGATTACTATTACCCCTTTGTACCTGTTGGATAAATCACATTTCCATGTTCTACTTTTACTGACCTTTGACTTTAGGAACTTCTTAAGAATGAAAGGTCAGGATGGGCGTGATGTTGCACCGCCTGTAATCCCAGCACTTGGGAGGCTGAGGCAGGAAGATCTTTGCAAGTTTGAGACCAGCCTAGGAAAGTACACAAAGTAAACTCAAGGCCAGCATGAACTGCATAGGGAGACCCTGTCTCAAAAAGACAAAAAAAAGAAAGGTCATTAACAGATGATAAAACTTGAAAATAGAACAAGCTTCCAGTTTTCTGAAACAAAATTCTTTTTTTTTTTTTTTTTGGTTTTTCTCCGGTACCGGGAACCGAACTCACGACCTTGCGCTTGCCAGGCAGGCGCTTTGCCGCTGAGCTAAATCCCCAGCCCCTGAAACAAAATTCTTAAGGTACCAGTACTTAAACATGCAGATAAACATGCCATGGTAGGCTTGGCTGAGGTATAGAATCTAACAATAATGACAGCATATGGAAAACCTGGAAGGTTTTCCTCTCAGAGCTGGAGATTGTACCCAGGCTCAGCACACTAGGTACACATTGTACTATTAAGCTGTACCTGTGTCTTTTCCTCAGGTTGCAAAACCTAAAATTGAGGAACTAAATTCATATATCTTTATTATTTTAAGGGCATTGAAATAGGGTCTTAGGGATTTAGCTTAACGGCACAGCACCTGCCTGGCAAGCTCGAGGTCGTGAGTTCGATTCCTGGTACCAGGGGAAAAAAAAAAAAAAGGACATAGGGTCTTGTTATGTAGGTCAGGCTGTCCTTGAATGCACTGTGTAGCACATCCTGGGCTCAAACTTTTGGTGATGTTCCTGCCTCAGCCTCCTGAGTGTTGGAATTACAGACATATGCCACCATGCCTGGCCTAAATTCACGTATTTTTAAGGATTTGTTGAGGTTTAACATATGCTATGGCCATGAAAACAGCAAGGAATTTTTAACATTAGCACTGAGCAGGCACAAGCCCCTCGGGCAGAGCCGGGCCCTCCTGCTGGCCACGTTGACTGCTCTCCTACTCCTCGGGGAGCCCCATGTAGATAAAGCACGCAGCCGTGCCGGTGGACTTGGTCATTTCTGTTTGTTCCCATGCTTCTGATGTTTTTCTCTGAAAAGGAACTGGGGAAATGTGATTAATGAAGTCAACTGCTAGACTTCATTTTGTTTTTGATGGAAATATTTCCTCCCATAAAATGTAATGGCGTGAATCTGCTGGCACAGATTGTTTACTGGAACTAGACTGGTCTCCAGAGAGGCGGTTCCACTGAACCATTCCACCGAAAGCCAGATAGCTGATCACAGAGAGCCTGCCAAGCACCATGAAAGGGCTGCGGGGACACAGGCTCATCTGCATGACGGCTTGTTATTCCTGCTGCTCACCCCCAAGGGTGTGGGGTCACGGCACGAAGCCCCTGTCGCTGCTGCCCTTCCTCTCTGCAGGGTGCTGGCCGCAGATCCGTCAGCCAGGTTGAAAATATCGGAAAAAGTTGCATCTGTACTGAAAACATAGATGTTGGGCTGTGGTTTTCTCTAAGCAGTGATATGACAGCTATTTACAGGGCATCTGCACATGTTACGGTTTATGTGTAACTCAGAGGTGATTTGAACTGAAGCACGCAACTCATGGGCAGAGGTTGTCAGCAAATACTGTGCAGGTCCTATTTTATAAGGGAGTTGAGCATTGCACACTTTGCTGGCCTCAGGGTCCAGCAAGCAGTTTTCTACTGGGGACAGTTGGGGTCCCCAAGGTGTAGCAGTCAACAGAGACTCAACCCCCATCAAAATGTGTTCTTCCACCTAACAGCTTTGCAATATATGAGTATACAGATGCTTTTACCTTAATAAGAAAAGTTAGACCATCTAAAAATACTTTTGCCAAAGAAGACCTTTGCAGTTATATACCTCGTGAACCTCAAATTCCTGTGTGCCTTCTGTCTGAGGAGTGTTCATTGAGAAACCCCACTTGGGCTGGGCGTGGTGGCACACGCCTGTAATCCCAGCACTCAGGAGGCTGAGGCAGGAGGATTGTTGCGAGTTCGAGACCAGCCTCGGCTGCAAAGTGAGCTCAAGGGCAGTCTGAACTCCATATCGAGACCCTGTCTCAAAAAAAAAAAGAGAGAGAGAGAAACCCCACTTGGCAGCCACTGTTGCAGGTACTGGAGATTCAGTGTGGAGGGACCGGATGTAGCTGCCACTCCCCACGAAGATGCCCAACCCATCCGCTTGGTCGCTTCAACCGGAAGGAAGGCCTCTTGATCGGGCCTCCCCGGCCCAGTGCAGCCTGAGCTTGTTGCCCCGCCTCACCGTGCATGCCACATGGACACCTTTCTGCAGCCCCTGTGCTCCCAGCTTCCGAAGGAGATCACCACGCTCTGTGTCCGGGGCTCAGCCCCATGCTTCCTGGGTGGTAGCATCATGCAGAAGTATTTGTTACCTTCTAACTACCATCCTTAAATTGTGTAAAATCATAGCAGTTCCTTTAAAAGATGTTCTACATTGAGTTTTTATTTACTTATTTATTTATTTTTGAGGCAGGGTCTCACTATGCAGTTCAGACCGGCCTTGAGCTCACTTTGTAGCCCAGGCTGCTCTCAAACTCACAACGATCCTCCTGCCTCAGCCTCCCGAGTGCTGGGATTACAGGCTTGGCACCACCATGCCCCGCTACATTGAGTTTTTGAAAACGGCTTTTCTTTTGTTTTGGTGGTTAGAGTCAAACCACCACAGGAGTTGCGACTTCTGCTTCTGCTCTGAAAGGTGACACAAATGGCCCTGAGACGAAGCTGCCCAAGGCCGCTTTGTGCCCCTGAAGCCTGGTTTTCCGTTCTCTTGAGCCCCAGCCTCTGCTCGGCCGGGGAGCCTTTCTCATCAAGTGGAATAGCACTGGCCAGAACTGACGCCTTCCTTTTTGTTCGCTGAAGAGGGCTTTCACTGGGCCCGTTTTCCTTCTGTTATAACCGTCTTCTTCCTACCTACTCTTCTCCGAAAAGGTTAGGCCGGGTTTACAAGTTTGCATTATGATTTTCAGGGTTTTCCCCGTGTATAAGTTAATTACTCTCAAAACAAGCCGGTCTGTGGTTCCTGGGAGTTCCGCTTGCTCCTGTCCCCTAGCAGCAAGCTTGCTGTCGCGATGGGTGTGGCATCGTGCTAGGAAAATCAGGATCAACAGTAAAAACACGCCCAGCAGTCAGAGCTTCCTTCAGGGTTGCGGGACTGTGAACCTCACTCTTCGCCTCTGGCCGTTGGTTATCAGTTCTGCCCAGTCATCTTGCTGAGCCTTCCGTTTCGGGAACTCGTGAGTGCTGGCTGCTGAGTAGGCTGGGTGTGGGGAGCTCCACGAGTGGGCAGCACTCAAGGGGTTCAGTTTGCGTTGACAAAGAGCGAGTGCTGTAGTGAGGTTTCACGGCCTATTTTGAAGCCCGCACCCTGTGCCTGGTGGAAGAGCCACACCAGCCCGTTAGCACGCAGTACCTCAGTATGTTTTGTTGAGGGCCCTTAAAATCTTAAACTGTCTGCAAGTTTCAAGAATATAAGATACAGTGGTATTAGCTAACGTCTACAATTTTAATTCTAAACAATTAAATGAAGCAGGCCTTACAGGGCAGAGTGTAATTCTCAAGTGATTAGTGAAAATTTTTGAAAGAAGGTAATTCTCATTTAGATTTTTGTTTGTTACGGTTGACAAACTTACATAAAAACCCGCAAGCTCGTGTGGCGAATATGCATGTGGGCATTGCGCGCTGGAGTGAGGCGGCGACGCGAGAGCGAGTGGGGACAGGCGCCGGTCTCGGGGCTCAAAACACTCGCTCGCGTCTTCTGGTCCAGACTGAGTTCTTCCCTTCCTTCCTCACTTCCTCCTGCTTCGTTTATTCGTTTCCATTGTCACTTGCTCACTACCTGTATGCAGTCATTTTTCAATCCTCCTGATGGAAATAAGACTGAAAATGAGGCCAGAGGAAGAGCGGCTGCGTCGTGGCCGGGGTCACGCAGGGCGCTGACCTCTCGCTGCTGCCCGCAGGTGCTGGGCCCCGCACCTCGCTGGTGCTCTTTCCTGGACAACCTGACGGAAGAGTTGGAGGAGAATCCGGAGAGCACAGTGTACGACGATTACAAATTCGTCACCAGGAAAGACCTTGAAAATTTAGGTAAAAAAACTATGATGCTTGTAAAATTATTTTATTCCTTTTTGATGCTCTGAACACTAAAATTGGCTAAACCATGTTTCTCTGATTTTCTGAATCTTTCCACTAAATCAGTTCTTAAACTGCAAGTTGTCAGATTTATTATCTCTGCTCAGAGAAAGACCAACGTAAATCCAGCCTCCCAAAGGGTTCTGCTTCTGAAACAAGAACAACTTCTTTCAGCACATTAGCTGCGTGCAGAGAACCATCTGGTAAAAAAGCAGTGACTTGCTGGGCCTAGTGTGCACGCCTGTAATCCCAGCACTCGGGAGGCTGAGGCAGGAGGATCTTTTCGAGTTTGAGACCAGCCTGCGATACAAAGTGAGCTCAAGGCCAGCCTGAACTGCGTAGTGAGACCCTGTCTCAAAAAGACAAAACAAAAACAGTGATTTTTATCAAGCACTACTTGAGTAAGGTGAAGATATCTCAGAGACTGCAACTAGATAGTATCTGATTGCGGCTAGATAGTTTCCCTTTTAGGTTTGCTTATAAAAGGCCTGATTGAAAACTTAGAATCTGTAGACTGAATGTTCAAATATAAAAGACCCTAAACATCACTGAGCATTCTAGTCTGAGACATTGTGAGCACTGACAGCACACTCAGAAGTGTCGGGCTTTGCAGCACTGGATTTCTGGGTTAGGAATACTCTGCTGTTGTGCTAGTCAGCTGTTGGTTACTGTAACACATATCTGAGATCATTTGTTTATACAAAGAAAAGGTTGCTTTACCTATCCTCCCAACATTCAGGAGGCTGAGGCAGGAGGATTGCTGTGATTCAAGGCCAGCCTGGTCTACATAAGAAGAGACTGTATCTCAGTCTCTTCCCCAAAAAGAGCAAGAGGAAGTACCCTGGGCCTCCAGTCATCTTTGAGGACCTCTACTAGGCCCCCTCTTAAGAGCTCCATTGCCTCCTTACCACACCTGGTGGCCTGAGCCTCTAACATGTGCTGTAGCAACCCCACGGCCTGGCCTGTAGCAGCCCTTGGAGTCCATGCAAATTCTCCAAGCCAGAGAGCCCCGGAATTAGACCCCCGGGCCTGCACAGCGTGGAGGAGCTCAGCTTGTGGTTTGTTTCGGTTCGGAGGTCACAGAGCAAGGGCATCTCAGAATAATAAGCACCAGTGCAGAGCTTCCTATATGTTGGGTTTACGCTGCATATCAGGATCCCACTCTATGGAGAGGGAGACTGAGGCGGGGAGGGAGGAGACACCCGCTGCCTGGTGCGACCATGAGACCGAGGCAACTGTGCTGATCTTGCTCAGTTGCTGGCAGCAGGCCACATGGCAAGTTATAGAGAGTGGGAACGCACAGGATCCGTTCTGCACAAGTCTGGGCAGCCCAGTTGGAACAAATAGATGAAAGTAGCAGTTGACTATTAAAAGAATACTCACATACTAATTAGATTGAGCGGTTCTGAAACCTCATTTATAACCTGTATCTCATAGCGTAGTTCATCCAAGCAGAATTAATTCCTCCAGTTAATGTGTTGTGAAGACAGAGGCGCTGTGTCCTGCCAGAGAGGTGACCGGTGGATGTCATAGGGCGACACGGCGTCCGCCTGCAGTGCCCTCTGAGATGTCTCCAGTGCGGCACACGAATTGCACGCCCTTCAGCCAGAAGGGGAGAGTCACGGTTATTTTGTGGAGGTCTTGTTTTGTTTTGTTTATTGTTTCGCTTTTGGGCCAGTGTGTCACTACATAGCCCAGGCCTCGAACTCACAGACATCCTCCTGCCTTGGTCCCCCAGGTGCTGGGATCTCAGCGTTGCCCCAGCACGCCTGGCTTCCGTGGGGTTCTCCTAAACTACTGCCTTTAGTATATTTTGAGCACTGTTCAGACTCTTTAACTGTGTTTACTTAGGGAGAGGAAAGTGATTAATTTAGGTACATTTCATTTAAATGTAATCATACTGCCCATTTAAATAAGACTCTACAGATAGCTCTCATGGCAAGATGGCACTGACACCAGAAGGCGTCTTTGTGAGTATTACTAGTGTCTCTTAATATGAAGCAGGCCACAGGTTGTCGTTGTCAGTAGATTTTGGCATCATATACAACACCTCCTGAACAGCTTTATCTTCAGGGTGGAAAAGAAGTGAAGCTGTACCGCCTCCTCCCCTTACTTCCGCGGGTTTTAGAGCAGCGTTTAGCAATGCTGGGTCCTTGCGGACTCCAGCTCGGAGTTGGGCAGGTTCCCCATTGCCGGTCTGCTGGCCCCAGTGCTCCTGTGCGCCTGTGGACAGGCCACCCGAGGCAAGGCCATGCTTATGCCACCGGCAGCTCAAGCCGGCCAAAACATGTTCATTCAGGCTGAATGCCCGACACTGCTGGCAGGGAGCTTTTCATTAGGCCGTGATGAAGGGGTGTGAATAATGTGGGCTCACGCGTAAGCGTGCTAATATGTGGGGTGTACAGTGTCAGCTGTTCTTTCTTGGGAAGGCTGTGTCCTTTCTGCACTGTTGTTGTGACAAAGTCTTTTGTCTTTGGAAACAAAGGCAATAATGTTTCTCCTCTCGCTTCCCTCCCTCCCCCGTTCCTGCTGGGCGGCGGAAGTTTGCATTTACTCTTGATCCCCAATACTGCTTTCTCTGTGACAGTTTGGGGAACTGAACCCAAGACCTCATGTATGCTGGGCAACTGATTTGTCACTGAGCTAGGCCCCAACCTGTTTTATTTTCTTTTTTCTTTTTTGTAGTACTGGGGATTGAACATAGCACCTTCGCATTGAGCTGCATCTCTAGGCTTTTTTTCCTTTTTTTCTTTTTTTCTAGGCTTTTTTAAAAAAAATTTATTTTTGAGGCAGAGTCTCACTAAATTATCAAGTTGCCCAACCTGGGCTTGAGCGATGATCTTCCTGCCTCAGCCTCCAGGTGCTGGGATTACAGGTGTACGTCACTATGCCCACCTAAAGTGGTGTTAATGGAGTAGATTAAATGTTATCCATAGATGTTGAAATTTAGTAATTCCAATCCCTAAATTTTTACCAAAGTGAAATCTGATTGTAACACACTCGTTGTCCAAAAAAAGCAGCTCAGTTTCCTGCAGCCTTGCTAAGGCCGGCTCTGTTCCAATCCCTTCCCCCAGGGCTCACGCATCTCATCGGCTCGCCCTTCCTGCGGGCGTACATGCACGGGTTTTTCATGGACATCAGGCTCTATCACAAGGTGAGTGGGAAGCTGCCTCTCCTGCATCCGGGGCTGTTTTTTCACTACTTCCTCTTTCATCAGGCTCAATGCGGGGGAGCTCTGGTCTCTATCCCGCAGGTGTAATGTCTGTGCTAACTACTATTCTTCGTTGTTACATTTTGAAAAGGTGAAACTGATGGTTAACCCATTTGCTTATGAAGAGTACAGAAAAGATAAAATTCGGCAGAAGATAGAAGAGACACGTGCACAGCGGGTCCAGTTAAAGGTAAGTGACACCAGGGAACTTACCAAAGAAAAATACTTGGTTTCCACTTTGTGTGTTACTCCAAAGAATCCTGGCCTAGGTGGGCATGGTAGCACATGCTTGTAGTCCCAGCACTCGGGAGGCAGAGGCAGGAGGATCTTTGTGAGTCTGAGACCAGCCTAGGCTACGAAGTGAGTTCAAGGCCAGCATGAATTACATAGTGAAACCCTGTCTCAGAAAGACAAAAAAAAAAAAAAGAAAGAAGGAAACCTGGCTTCCTTTTCGTTTTTTAGTCCACATCTTTCACTTACATTTGTGGTGTATTTGTTTCCAGGGGGTGTTGGTCTAAAGTTTTCTCAGGAGGTGTGGCTGCAGATGGGCACAGTCACCGCACTGAGGGAAATCCTGGTGTTCTGCATGGGCTGCAGTTCGGGGACCGGGGGCGTATGTCACCGGCAGACCCCGGGCTCTGTGTGGCCCACACAGCCTGTGCGATGCCAGCCCAGACCGTGTCCGTGGGTGGAGCTGCAGCTGCCCTCTCACCATCCAGTCTCTCTGGGGCCCTGTCCTCAGCATGTTGCCAGCGATGCAGCAATGGAGACAGTGTCCTCCATGGGGAAAGTGAGACGTAGTTATACCCCTGCCTGGGAAATTACTCTCCTGGCAGAACGAATATGCGGAGAGCCATGTGACAGCTTTTCCCCTCCTCAGAAACTGCCAAAAGTCAACAAGGAGCTGGCTCTCAAATTAATGGAGGAGGAAGACGAGAAGCAAAGGTCTGCATGGAAGAAGAAGGCGAAGGTAAGACTTTGGAGAAGGCAGAGGATACCTGCATTTCTTGATGGTAACTTGGCCTTTTCTGTGACTTTGGGGGGTGCCAAGTGTGTATGGTGTTTCCCCCATTTTCTGCCCTTACTGGGTAAGGGGAGTTTGGGAAATAGAAAAAAAATCAATCTCATTCTTCTAGCCAGGGAAAAGAGGCATTAAAATTTTAGTGAATTTTTTTCCTGTCGTATTTCTCTTAAAAGTATAAAAGCAGTGTTATCAGAGCTGAGTTTCATTTCAAAAATACGGACCCCATATGCGTGGTCTTTGGGGAATCTGAAGCTGTGGGAGGCTGAGGCAAGAGAATCCCAAGTTTAAGCCCAGCCTTGGCAACTGGTGATTTAGCAAGACTTTGTAAAAGTAGAAAGATCTGGGGTTGCAGCTCAGTGCATAGACCCTGGGTTCAATCCCCTATATGGCAAAAGGGAAAAGAAATCTGAAGCTGTTGAAGCTGTTAAAACCCAGTGTGTGTAACTTGCTCCTTAACAGTTTAATTTTACATAAAGACCTTAGCTCAGGAGAAGGCAGCCAAGATGGCGCCTGGCCCTATTGCCCGCACGCGGCTGAGGCTTCCGCTGAGAGATGGGTCTCTGTGCTTCAAGGGCCACGGGGGATGGGGACACTGCAGCCCGGGGGCCACCTTCATCTCCTCTCCCCGAGCAGCACCTGTCCCCACACTCGAGCTGCTGGTGCTGCCAGGCTCTGTCTCCGCCTCTTTACCTGAGAGCCAGGGCCGGGGGCCAGGCTGCCACAAGCCGGGCAGGCGCCCGTGTCACCGCCGTCTGGGACAGTCTGAGCAGCCGCGATGTGTGCGTGGGCTCTGACATGGCAGGGCACGCGCCAGACGCTTGTAAACCACTCCGGAACCGAGGCCTGATCCTGCCTTCTTTTTTAAGCCAGCTGCAAAGACAAACGGATTAGGACGAGGCCCCAGGGAGGTGTCTCTGCAGCAGCGTGGGAAGAGCCCGCCCTCCGCCGGGGCTCAGCGCGGAGCAGGCCATCTCCAGGCACTGAGCCTGCTTCTGTCGCTTTCAGGGAAACTGAAGTATCAGCCGCACGTCCTTTTTAACGTCACTCCTTGCTGCGTATTAACGTGATTGGGACTTCAGTCAGTGCAGTAAGGTGAAAAAGAAAAAACTTCTCCTAAGGATTTTTTAACCTAAAAATAGGCACATAGATGTTGACTGCACAATACCCGGCTTGTTGGCGATGTCGCCCGTGCCGCATCATAGATGACAGTGCCCATGTTTGCCTGACCTGTCCTGTTCTGAGGAATCTCGGCTCTGACAAACTTCATGAGAAGTTAACAATTTGTGCGTACTGCACCCTGCTCGCTGCTGGTACGAGTGGCTCTTTGAAGCTGCCTTCCCGGTCAGATTTGCCCTGACAGTGATGTGTGTGTACCCTTCCTCTTCCCCTACAGAGCCTTCCGAATATCCTCACTGACGACCGATTCAAAGTTATGTTTGAGAACCCTGACTTCCAAGTAGATGAAGAGAGTGAAGAGTTCAGGCTTTTGAATCCACTTGTTTCAAAAATCAGTGAGAAAAGGAAGAAGAAATTAAGACTCTTGGAACAACAAGAACTTCCTGAAAAAGTAATGTGCTATTTATCATTTAGAATTTGCTGCTGTTCCTTTAACGGTCGAAAATGTGAATCAGAAACCTTTGATGGGCCAGTCTTTTTTTTTTCTTTGTACTAAGAATTGTACTCAGGACCTTGTGCTTGCCAGGCAGGTGCTATGCCACTGAGCTATTTCCCTGGCCCCCCTTTGGTTATACTTGAATATTACTTAGTTCCATCCTAAGTATTTGATTTTTGAGATATAATCAAAAACTGTGGTGAGCCGGGCATGGTGGCGCATGCCTGTAATCCAAGCACTTGGGAGGCTGAGGCAGGAGGATCATTGTGAGTTCGAGACCAGCCTGGGCTACAAAGTGAGTTCAAGGCCAGCCTGACCTGCATAGTGAGACCCTGTCTCAAAAAAACAAGAACAAAAAAAACCACTGGTGAATATTTAATTTTTTTTCTTTTTTTTTTTAACATTATTGCAGTATAAGCCACATGGCCACAAGTGCCCTTAGAATTTTCCCTGGCTTTGCACACATTCCTCCCATCATCCTTGCCACTTCTTGCAGCAGCTCTGAAGTCCTCTTTCCTGAGGGTCTTCAGCAGCACTGTCCTGGCTGCCTGAATGTCCTGAATGATTTAAAACATTCCTTGTTCCCTTTCCTGGTCATTGTGACTTTGGGGAGGAGCCAGGAGTCACATGGGGCCATACTGGGTGATTCAGGTGGATGAGGGGACAGCGTCATGTGTTTATTTGACAGAGATTGTGGTAAATGTTCCATAGCAAAGGGTGATCCGAAAAAAGTAAGTGACTCAATTTTAAAAATTATAGTAAAAGACACATTGCCACAAATCACCCTCAGAATGCTCACTCTTGTTTCAAACACACTCATGGCTCCGAGCAATGTGTCCTGTACTGAAATAAGGCTTTTGAAGGTTAAGCCTCCGTATTTTCTGTCCCCCAGGCGTGGGCGTTTCTTCAGGGCGGGCGGAGTGCACACCGCCTACTCTAACACCCCGGTGCTGTGAGGGGAAACTCAGGGTTCAGTGTGCGGTGGGGACTGATATGCTCGCTCTGCTCAATTCCAGGAAGAGGAGGAAGAGCCGGAGGGCAGGCCGAGTGACGCGGAGAGCTCGGGCAGCTCCGACGACGAGAAGGCCTGGGTGGCCGAGGTCCGCAAGCAGCGGCGGCTGCTGCAGCAGGAGGAGCGGGCACGGCGGCAGGAGCAGCGGCGGGAGGACCAGCAGGCAGTCCTGAAGCCCCAGTTCTACGAGATCAAGGCCGGGGAGGAGTTCCGCAGCTTCCAGGAGTCTGCCGCCAAGCAGAAGCTGATGAAGTGAGTGGGTGTGGCTGCTCTTCCTCTCGCCCTGTGGAGGGTGGCACTGTGGGTCAGGGTGATATAGCAGTAGGGGTGGGGAGCATGGGGGCAAGCAACAAGGAAACATCGCTGTTGAAAATGCCAGCCTAAGCTGGGCAGGGTGATTCCCGCCTGCCATCCCAGCACTGGAGGGGCTGAGGCAGGAGGATCTCTGAGTTGGAGGCCAGCCTGGGCTAGGCTATATAGTGAGACCCAGTCTCAAAAAAACAAGAAAGAAAATAAATATACCAGTCCTGAGCCGGGGATATAGCTCAGTGGCACAAGTGCCTGCCTGGCAAGTGCAAGGTCCTGAGTTCAGTTCCTGGTACCAAAAGAAAAAAGAAATACACCGGTCCTTAGTTAGCTTACTTTTAAACAACTCTCTGAAGCCTAGTTGACATGCAGTGGGACATGGGCACAGCCCCTGGAGTGCTGCAACGTGTGGAGGGCGCCTGTGAGCAGCTGGCCACCCCCCGCTGCCTGGTCTCACAGTGCCTTCTCATTCTAGGGCTGCAGCTCACAGCCCTGACACCGTCACACAGGCATGATTGAAGGGGGACAGATATTTGCCTCTTGGCAAAAAGTTAATGTTACAAATTAGCATCTCAGTTACCTAACCACTGGAAGGGTCCTCTGAAAACTGACTGGAAATGCTAAGCAGGAAGTTGGCAGGAACATTGAGAAGTCCCAGGAGCGGTGCTGTGGGGTGGGGAGGACACAGGCACAGGGAGGAAAGGGCGGAGGCTGGGCTGGAAAGGGGCCTCCGTGGGCAGGGGCCTCACCTGGTGCAGCTGGAGATGCCCTGGGGTGGGGGCGCCAATGGCACACAGCAGTGGAAATGCACTGAGCACAGCAAACTGCTCTTAAAGAGAGTTGGAATGAGCTGTGCACATGTCTGTAATCCCAGCACTCGGGAGCCTGAAGCAGGAGGGTCTTTGTGAGTTCGAGGCCAGCCTGGGCTACATAGCAAGACCCTATGTCAAAACATAAACAAACAGAAAGAAGTTAGCATGAAGTGTTATGCTGTAAATGTTTTCCATAATGGAAAAAGGCAGAAATGGTCCTGCGGAAACAGTTCTCGGCCTCCAGCTACCTGAGCAGGGCACGAGCTGGGCATCAGCTCTGTGGGGCAGCCCGCATGAGGAGCTGGTCCGGGCAGAGAGGCCGTCTGTGCTGGAGGAGGCGCAGCAGAGGGGCGCGGGGAGCAGAGGCCCCTGTGGTTGAGGCCTAGCTTCCTGCTGCAGCACCTCACCTGGGGTCCCAGCCTGCGGCTCTGGTTGGGCATGGCTGGTGGTGCCAGGCGGCACCTCTGAGGCCGGCTGTCCTTGCACGTATACCCGCCCACACCGTGCCGTGCCGACCCGGGACCCGGCCAGTGCCTGCGGGCCAGCACCCCTGCCACCTCTTTCCAGGCCGTGGCGCCTGCGCTGTGTCCACTGGGGGTCACAAGCGGAGCCACTTGACCTTGGCGTCGGTGTCATTCCTGGGTAGGTGTCCTCTTTGATGCTGGGTGTGTACCTGGCAGCAGACTTGCAGGGCTCTTGACAGGTCGGTATTTAGCCTTGCAGCGGCACAGTGGTGCGTGCCCATAATCCCAGCGCTGTGGGAGGCTGAGGCAGGACAATTGCAAATTCCAGTGCAGCCTGGGACCCTTGGGAACTTCTTGAGACCGGTCTCTAAATTAAAAAAAAAAATTTGTCGCAGACGGGGGATACAGATGAGGACAGACTGTGAGTTCAATCCCTAGTCCTGCAAAAGAGAAGGAGAGAGAAAAGAACGAGTCTTTACATTATCTCTGTCTCTCCTTCCCCGCCTCTACAAAGCAATTTAAGGGTCTGCTGAGGGGAGCTCTTTTTAATTCAGTATGCCTAATTAAAGAAGTTGTGGGGTAATGTGTGTGTTTCCAGATCTCGAAGAAGTAAATCATTCATTCTTCCTAGGGCAGCTAATCAACACCTAATTTGGTTTTTCCCCTTGTTCCTCATGTCCGTTGTTTTTTTTTTTTTTGCTGGTTTTCTTTGCCTTTCTAATAACCAGGTCCTTCCCTAAAGAGCCCCGCACACCCTACCTAAATAATCCCACTTCACCGTCAACTTTTTAAAGCCTGCAGGTTGTTTTGTTTTGTTTGTTGCTGTTTTTTTTTAGATAGTCTTGCTAGGTACCCCTGGGTGGCCTCAAACTTGAGGGGATCCTCCTGCCTCAGCTTCTTGAGTGCTGGGGCGACAGGCGCAGGGTTTCTGTTGCAGTTGTTCACCTTGTCACGGTTAGAGTTTTCCCAAAATGCTTGGCTGCAGTATTGCTTGGAAAGGGCCCCGGCACCTGCACATCTGACCCCACGGGGCAGAGCTGGGCCCGCGTGTGGGGACTGTGTCACCGGAGTATCCTAGGTGCTTTGAAGCAGGGCACGGGCGCTTTCATGTGAAGCTCGGGGTCCCAGCTCTGATCTGCTGCCATGCCGCCCGCCCGGGCCAGTGCCTCCAGCGGTGCAGCCGAGCAAGTCCGCACAGGCGTGGGGGAGCCGCAGCCGCAGCCAGAGCCACACGGAGGCAGTCAGGGAAGTCAGGCCCTTGCCCAGAGGAGTCGTTTCCCACAGTGCCCTGGGGAAGTCCCTTCCTGCCACACCAGTGTTCTGCAGGTCCCGCTCCGACTGGGTGGCTCCAGAGCTGCCCCTTGCGAAGAAGCTCAGGGTTTGTGGCTGGCGAGGAGAGATGGAGAGTATTGCAGGGGCCTGCGCCCATTTTTCCTTGAACAGGAAGCCCCGGAGGACCCTGCAGTCCCCGCCACCTGTCCTGCATGGACGCTGTCACTCAAGCGCTCCGGTCCTGGCCACGGCCCCTGCTGCTCACTCCCCATGGCGCCCTTGGAGGGCGCGGCTTTCCCCTCTGGGCGGCCCCAGAGCAGCAGCACTGTGCTTAGGAGCTGGTGCTGAGGACCGTATTTCAGGGGAGAGAACACGCTTCGCGCCAGTCAGCCTTCCCACAAAGTCCCGCCAGGTCTCAGTGCACGCACCAGGAAGGTGCGTTCAGCTTGGGTGTCAGGAGAGGGCCAGGGCTCAGTTAGTTTGATTTTGAGGGGGAAGAAACAATAGAAAATTATATTTTTTATGTTTTGTATGTTAATTTTACGTTGTATATATTTTATAGTTCATAGAGTTCTTTTTTTCGTAATGTAATTCCTTTTTTCTTCCCGCCCCTATTGCTTTAGCCATTCCTCCAAGAATCAGAACTGTTTAAACTTACTGAAACTCTGTACCTTTAGGCATAATTCACTTCTTCTAAAGCAAGTTATCAGAAAAGGCCAATGTTCAGGTTCATAACAAAGCCGTTCTTAAAGCAGTGTGCAGTAGAATATTGCGTAACTGGCTCACACTTGCAAGTGTGGCATTGTTACGGAGGTGTGCAGGAGGAATGGTTAGTTCCACAGATGAGTGTGAGTTGCAGGGCACAGAGAACAGAGACAAGCCAAGCGTGGTGGTACACACACCCAGCTCTCAGGAGGCTGAGGGAGGAGGATCTCAACAAGTTCGAGGCCAGCCTGGGCTACATGGCTAGGTCTTGTCTCAAAAAAAAAAAGAACTAAGAACAGAGACACAGATTGTATATATAAAGTTACCTAGAATTTGGAAAGCACCGTTAAGAAACAAAAAGAGATTTCCTCTAGGGTAAAGTAGCAAAGAAAATAGCTCTAGTAAAAGTCTGAAAGGAAAGACCCTGGGAGAGAGCAGGGGCAGCTGGGGGGATCCAGTTTTCCCGAAGTGGCGCTGCTTCACTTTCTCAGGATGAAGTGGTGAGATGGTGTCTCAAGTTGTTCATGCTGTAAGATGGGAAGAGCAGGATGCTTGCAGTTCTTTGTGGCATGACCTGGGAACCTTTATAGGTTTTTTATTTTATGTATGTATGTGTTTTTTTGAGACAGGGTCTCCCTATGCAGGTCAGGCTGATCTTGAGCTCACTTTGTAGCCCAGGCTGGTCTCGAACTCACAACAATCCTCCTGCCTCAGCCTCCCAAGTGCTGGGATTACAGGGGTGTGCCACCACGCCCAGCTTATTAATTTGCATTTATTCCTCACTTGTATATGGCTTTAATTTAAAATGCTTGGGCTGGGGATTTAGCTCAGCGGCACAGCGCCTGCCTGGCAAGTGCAAGGTCGTGAGTTCGATTCCTGGTACCGGAAGAAAAAACAAATTAAAATGGCTGGACTCATACACACCACAGCCCACCACAGTTAATTAAGAGCTTCAGAAATAGATTATTCCTATCACACCCGTCATCTCAGCACTCCGGAGGCTGAGGCAAGAGGATCGATGTGAGTTTAAGGCCAGCCTGAGCTACACAGTAAGATCCTTCCTCCCCCGCAAAAAAGAAAACAAAAGGAATACATTATTCTTTGCATCTGACCTCCCAGATACGCTTTAGTGAGGTAAGGGGCAGTCGCTGATCTCCTTAGTGCTTGGAGCTGACGTGTGCAGCAGTCGGCTTCTGAGGCGTTGGCGTGGGTTGTGCTGTCCGGGAAGCGGGTGTCAGGACGGCGGGAGTCGCTGCGTTCTCTCCGCGGCGGTTGGAGGAGCAGCTGCTGTGTTCCGTGCCTGCACGGGAGACGCCTGCCGACCACCCTCACTCACCCATCTAACATCACTCTGTGAAATTCCCTCAGCAAAACCCTTGAGGATCGGTTGAAACTGGAAGCCAAACACGGGACATTGAGTGTGGCCGATACCAGCGTGGGCAGCAAGCAGCTGACATTCATGCTGAAGAAGGTGAGCTGTTCCCAGTGTCGGAGGGAGACACCAGCTCTTGGGGCTGGCATGTGCGCGTCAGCCTCGGCTGTCATTCCGTGCTGGGCCCTCTCGGAGGAAGACATGGCCCTACCTGGCAGCCCCTGGCACTCAGAGCCATGGTGATCCTGGTGGCTGAGGGGCAGGGCCTTGGTGTCTGAGCCCGGTGTGGCCTCGTAAAGCAAAAGTCCCGGTCCCCTGAGGATGTAAAATAATACCTAGCCAGAAGTGAGGGCACACATCTGTAGTCCCGCTGTCCAGGAGGCTGAGGCAGGAGGATCACAAGTTGGAGGACAACCAACTTGTCTCAGAATGGAATTTAGAAAAGAGCGTGGAATGTTGCTCCTGGTAGGCCGCTGGGCTAGCAGGCGAGAGGCCGGGTTCAGCCTCCAGCTGTGACAAAAGGAAGACCCAGCCTCGGTGGCCCTGAGGACCAGGACGGGGAGCACTGCAGTCCTCGCAGCCGTCTCAGTGCTGTCGTCTCTTGGGGCGACCCCTGCCAGTGTCCTCACTCCGTCTTCTTTTTCAGTCTGAGCAGCAGAAGCAGCGGCAGGAGGCCGAGAAGCAGCACCGGCTGGAGAGGAGGCAGCTGCGCCGTTCTGCCGGCCACCTGCGCTCCCGGCGCGGCCGAGGCCGCCCGTTCCCCTGAGTGCCCGGCGGAGGACACGAGGCTGCACGGAGGGACGGATAGACTGACGACAGACGGATGGACAGGCCAGTGCGCACTGGGCACTAGCCCCTGGCGCCTTCTCCATAGTGTGGAGCCTGCTGCTCTTTTAATACTGCACAAGAATTGCCGTGAACTGAGGCTCATCCCGCGCCAGCGGCAGAGCTCTCGCTCCCCTCCTTGCGGTGCCTGCGCTGCCCGAGACGCCGCCACTCGCGGTCCCCACCTGGGACGGCGATGTTGTCGCGGACTCGTTTGCCCCTCGGTATTAGCTCGGGGTGCTTTAGAACTATTTCTGTACCAGCCGTGTAAATTAATGGTAATAACAGTAACCGAGAGGTGGAAGCGACTGCTTATTGCTTGCCCTTGGCAGGAGATTAAATAGGCTCTTTCTGCAGAGGTGCAATTAGAACGTCGCTGGAGGAGACGTTTATACAATAAATACTTTCGTGTCAGCGACTTCTTTGAGAGGGACCCTTGCCTTGAACCACTGAAAATTAGCTTTGGTTCCTGCAGCCTCGCAGGCGTGATGTCAGAGGAGCTCTCGGAGACAGAGTTCCTCACCGTGAAGCGAGGCTGCCCCTCGGCGTGCCGGGCTTGGAGTAGATGCCCAAACGCGGGGCCGGAGTGGCAGTCACCTCCTGGTCCCCCCCACCTGCCCTCCCTGCACCTGCCCTCCCTGCCGCCCCATAGGCAAGGACAGTGTGGGTCACTTGTCCCCCTGTGGCCCGCAAGCCGGCGTTTGTCTGCAGGCGAGCGTGTGTCCCTCGGGGCTAGTAGGTGTCTGGTCGCGAGGAAGGAAGGAAGGACTGGGCTTCCCTGCGGCTGGTTACAGAGACGGGCCGGGAGCCACTGCTGCAGGGTGCGCCCCAGAGTCGGGGCTGGGAGATGAGATGGGCGGCGTCCGCCAGCTGCGTCCTTCCCCGTCCCACGGCTGCCCCCAGGGCCAGCCTTTCCCGGTGGCCTTCGACGCTGGGTGGGTGGCTCTGGAGACCCTGTGTGTGCGGGGACATGGAGCCTGACACCTCCGCAGGCTTCTGTGGCCCACACCGGTCCGGACGCCTGGCTCCCTGGCCTCTCTCCCTGCGGTTACCCTGGGGTGGGAAGTGTCACTCACAGTGACACAGTGGTCAGAATTCCAGCGAGGATTCTCTATGCACGTAACAGTGCACACGTCTGGCGTGACCCTGCCTGTGTGACGGCATTTTTATAGTGGTGATATGCTCACAATGCACATCTTCCCAGGAAAATGCACCTCGTTCTTGTATAAACATCAGAGTATTTTGGGATGTAATAAAGTTTATCTACTCTGCCTACTCGTGGCTCAAACTAAACTGTAAGGGGAAGACTCCAAAGGCCATTGGCACAGCAGTTACGGGGGCCATGCCTGTGATTCCAGGACGGCTGTGGCCTTGTAAACATTTTAAAAGGTTTTGCGGGGCCTTAGTTAAACTTGCCATGCATACAAAACCCGCCTGGCTGTGTTATTTGATTAATTGGGTTTGAAGTGATTTTCAAACCTGACTTCACCTTCGCGGCCAGAGTTGCAAGGGCCAAAGTGAATGAGCGAGTGGGGTCCGCGTGGCGGATCACTCAGAACTCGGAGAGACACAGGCTGTTGGAATGAGTACTTTGTATGTTATGTATAAGTAAATCCTATGTGTAAATATTTGATTGTTTCTCTGACGTCCCCAAAAGTTTAAATACACAAATTGGTATCACTTTTTTCTTCTTGGGAAAATGTAGGACCGCTTGATAGTTGGAGTTTGCATATATTTAGGCATCTGCTGGAGCTTGATTTAGGACACTACATATCTCTTTGAACATGTAGGGTGAAGTCTAGCCTAATAATGTTTATGCTTTTTCTTGAAACAAAGTCTTGCTTTGTAGTGCAGGCTGAGCTTCAAGTCACTGTGTAGTCCATGCCGGCCTCAAGCTTGCAGTGATCCTCCTGCCTCAGCCTCCTGACTGTCAGGCCTATAGGCATGTGTGCCACCATACCTGGCAGTTTTTATTCTTAAATCTAATTGTTTATTCACATGTAAATTTTCCAAAAATAGTGCAGTTAAAAACCCCAGGCCAGAGCTGGGCATGGTGGTGCACGCCTGTAATACCAGCACTCAGGAGGCCGAGGCAGGAGGATCGTTGCCAGTTTGAGACCAACCAGGGCCACAAAGTGAGCTCAAGGCCAGCCTGAACTGCATAGCGAGACCCTGTCTCAAAAAGACAGAAAAAAAAAAAGACACCCCAAACCCCAGACCATATTTGAAGGATTTATTTGGGGGACCTATGTGCTCTAAACACCCCTTGTCCATCGCAAGCACGGTGCTGGTGAATGGGGTTTGTGGATGACTGCAAAGTCCTCCCTGTCAGAGGTGCCGTGGCCTGGCCCTGGTGCAGCACGGGCCAGAGCCTCGGGGTGTGGAATCCGGGCCCCCTGCCTGAGGTCAGCCAGAAGCCTGCGACCCTGACTTCCTGCCCGGGAGCGCTCCGGCTGGCCGTGCATCTCATCTTGGTGGAGGAGGAAGTCGTTTCTCACCGCTCTGCCCTCCGCAGCCTGTTTGTGACCAGTCCCTGAGCACAGATGGGACTTCAAAGCTGTCGGGCAGGAGCCAGGCCAACTCTTCCTGATAGCCTGGAGTTTCACTCATTCTTGGCCTTTTGAGACGGTCTCACTGTGTAGTCCAGGCTGGCCTTCAACCCTCCCTCAGCCTCTTTAGTGCTGGGATGACAGGCGTGCGCCACGGCTGCGGCGTTCATCCTCACCACTGGGGAGCTGATGTCTCCAGGAGTTCTGAAACCTTCCAGTGTCACCCTTCTGCACAGCTCCAGAGCCATCTACAAGACGTGTGGCCCCCTGGCACTCAGCAGGAAACTGGACCAGGGGATCCTGCCCACCCAAATGCTTGGTTGTCTTCATCCTCACAGTCCCCTTCCTCCTGGCAGGCAGCTCAGTGTCAGCTGGGTGCCCCAGGGCCACCCAGCCGCCTGCACAGCCTCCCCGTTCCCCAAGCCTGGGCTCCCCGGGCTGGGCTGTGGGAGTGCTAATCCTTTCATAATGAGCTTTCCACATCCAGGATGGAGTCTGCCTCTGCAGACAGCGAGGAAGCAGGAGGAGCCCAGCCAGCCTGGACTTGCTAGTGGCAAAGCCGCCGGTTAGTGGCAAAGTGACTTCACCTGCCTGGGCCTCAGTGTCTGCATCTGTAAAATGGGTTTAAGAGGATCTGTCCCCTTGGGACTTCAGAGGGGTTTGTGGAGATTAATGAGTGAGGTCCATTAAATGGGGAGAAGAAAGGAGCTAACTAAGGCGCTATTGTAATTAGCCCCGGGCTCTCCTCGTCTGCCAGGTCTTGGCTTGCTTTAAGAGGGTAACCATGGCAATAGGTTTGGTGGAAAAATACGTGTTTCGAAGGCATAGCCATGAATCCTGCCATGCTGAGGAAACCTCTTTTACAGGTTCCTGTCATAGCTGGGAGCTGCACAGCCCTCAGCGCTGTCCTGCGGTGACGCTCCAGGACACATACTGACATGGTCAGCTCATGTCACCTGCATTGCTCAGCTCAGGCTGCTTGCTGCACAGAGCCTCAGGAGGCTGAGGCAGGAGGATCACTGCGTTTGAGGCCACCCTGGGCTGCATAGTGAGAACGTGTCTCAGAAAGACTCTCAATTTTGTTTTGTTTTTTGTCTTTTTGAGACAGGGTCTCACTGTGCAGTTCAGGCTGGCCTTGAGCTCACTTTGTAGCCCAGGCTGGTCTCAAACTCGCAGTGATCCTCCTAACTCAGCCTCCCAAGTGCTGGTATTACGCCAGGCTTCAAGTAAATTTTGATTTAAAAAACCCTGAAATTTCATACTGGAGGATGAGGTCAAAACAATGAACGGTGACAGAACATTGTGAGCTGGGAGTGAGGGGGGCCCCCATGCACCCGAGTCTGCGAATCACCACAGCATCAGCCGGGCCTTCTTCAGATAAGCCCACTGCAAGAAGGCACGCCCACGGGGACACCGCGCAAATTGTCAGAGTCGGGGTGTCGGGAGATATGCGGGACAGAGGGTCACTCTGCGGGAGGCCAAGGCAGTGAGGCGCCTTGCTGGAATCCAGCTCCATGCAGCCAGCACCACCCTGTGACAGCAGCTGTGCCGAGGAAACCCAGCTCTGAGTGCTCGGAATGGCTGGGTGTGAAGCCAGGGTTTGCTACTTACAGTATCTAAAAACATGGAAATACGTTTTCCAAGGGGAAAGGCAGTACAGAGGCTGCACCCGAGGCCTTCGACCTGAGCAACATCCCAGCCCTTTTTATTTTGAGACAGGGTCTCATTAAGATCCTGCCTCAGCCTCCCGCAGTGATGAGATGACGGGTGCACACCTCTGAGCCAGGCTCAGTTCTGCTCTTTTAACTCTGTCCGGCAAGCAGCCTGGCCTCGCATAATTCCTGCCGCCCCCTCCCCTCCACCCCTGGGCTGAGTTGGGGCAGCCTGCTCCTTCCCAGGAAGGGAGGCTGTAAAACTCTCCAGCTCGGAAACAGCGGGGACAGGAAATGGAGTCGTCCCAAGTGGAGCGGCCCGGGGACAGAGGAGGCTGAGAAGCGCAGTCATTTCCTCCCAGGCCGCACATCCTGTGGTGATGCGCGTGTCACTCCCGGGCCTCATGTGGTTCCCGCACCTGGAGCGGGGCCTGGAGCAGCCACGGCCGCGGGGCCCCCGGGGAGCCAGGAGCGTGTTCAGGCCTCCTGCTCCACCGGACACCAGCCTGGCCTGCGCCTCAGGTTTCACCCTATAATCAGGTGCCAATGTGCATATACTAATATGTCCACAGTGGCACACGTCTGTACTACCAGCACACTGGGAGGCTGAGGCAGGAGGATCTCAAGTTCAAACACAGCCTGGGTTTGAGTGACTAAGTGAGACCCTGTCTCAAAATAAAATAAAAAAACTAGTAGCCCCCGAGCCTGCAGGAGGAGCTCCATGGCCTGTCTTTCTAGACCTGGAAGAAGAACCCAGTGCCAGGGGATTATTGCTTCCTGCACACATGACTGGGCTTCCTGCCTGTAGCCACCACCCCTGGAAAATTGGGCCGTGTATCCTGGGCAGCCAGACTGCGATTCCTTCCTGCTCCTCGTGTGGGGGAGAATCCAGGAAAGATGGGAAGGGGCTGTGCCCAGGGTGGGGGCTCCTCCCGCAGAGACATGGTGGCCACCCTGCTGTCACCGCAGTGAGACCTGTGGGGTCTCACAGGACAACGGGCAGTGTCGGGGATGGGGGACCTCACAACCTGTAATGATGTCGCATAGGTGTGCCCAGAGTCTAGGGGAGCGGCCCTGTGGCTGGGGAGACAACGCGCTGCCCCTGGGTCAAGCCTCCTCACTATGGCTGAAACTTCATGCAATGGCCTGAATTCTAGCATCCATCTTGGGCCAGGAGGCCAAAGGCTGCCACCCAAGAAGGAGGCACTGAAGGGCAGGGGTTTGGAGTCTGCATTCCAGGCTTCTCGGACAGGAGCAAACACCCCCTTTGGGTTCTCTGCCTGTGCAGGCCGGACCCATTCACAGCATCTCTCAGTGACGGCGTTGGCTCTCCAGGCGGGAGGCACCATGTCTCACATCTTTTGAGCACAGGAGTGCACAGTAAGCATTTTGATCTGATTGAATCTAAACTTTTACAATCCTCTTATTAGCCAGGGCATGATGAAATCTATATAGTGACTTCCTGCCATCTCAAACAATCCTTCCGTTTATTTCCTTTCAGTATGGGAGATTGAACCCCGGGCCTTCACCCTGAGCTCCATCCCCAGCCCTTTTTATTTTTCATTTTGCAATAGGGTCTCGCTAAATTGTCCAGGCTGGACTTGACCTTGAGACCCTCCTGCCTCAGCGTGCTGGGATTACAGGCGTGTGCCACTAGGCCTAACTCAACCCTTCCCCGTGGAGGTCCCAGATGGGCCCTTCTGGGGGAGCTCAGAGCTTGCCTGGGCCCAGTCTCTGCCAGTGCTGGGCCTGGCTGATGTTGCTTTTTAGCTTTGACCCCTGGGCTCGGTGGTGCCTGTGTGTCAGTGTCATGGCCGAGGGCTGGGTAGTGGGTCCAAGGGGACAGGAAGGACTTATGGGAAGGAAGGGCCGGGGTCAGCCGGCCGGTGGCTGGAGGGTTTGAGGCCTTCTGAGGTGGCCATGATGGGGCGGAGCTCAGGGCCCCAGAGACCAGCTGTGTGGAAGGAATCCTAGCGATAGGAATGAAGTAGGCCAGGGCTCTGGGAGACACAGGCTGGCTTTTGGTGTTGTCGTTTTTTATTTTCGTTTGTCCTGGGAATTGAACCCAGAGCCTTCACACTGAGCTGCATCCCCAGCATTTAAAAATTTTTTTTAAATTTTGAAACGGGCTCTTGATAAATCACTAAGTTGCCCAGGTTGGGCTCAAACTTGCCTCAGCCTCCTGAGTGCTAGGCTGACGGGCGCGCACCACCACACCCGCTCAAACACATGCACAGTTGATGAGTGAGCAGGGGATGACGCGGGAGCAGGGATGACGCGGGAGCAGGCCTGCGTGCACTTCCAAGGGCCACACACCCTTTGCAAACCCCCCCCCCCCCGCAGGGTCTCTGACGGCCTCTCAGCCACCCTGGAGGGCCCACAGGAATGGCCCATTCCCAAGGGAGCAAACTGAGGCTCACAACAGCC